CTGGCACAAACGGCTCGATTAGTTCCGGCTTTGATGAAGGTCTGTCTTCCGAAAAACAAAATGTGTTGTGATTGGTTAGCTGTCCCAGTGTGTTGTGATTGGCGAACAGCTTAGACGGTGTTTCAGTACTGCCCCGTCCCTTGCTCCTTCTTTCAACAAAAGCTTTTTGGCAAATCCGGCACTGTACTCCCTCATGTTGTGGAAGCTGTCCTCAGTAAAATGCGCAGCACACAATAGCAAATTGGGGTTATAATGCTCAGGGACAGAGTTAAAAAATAAATTGCAACAACTGTTTCCTGACATCATCCTCTTTCGGAAGCCCAAAGAAAGACGTTTGGGCACGGAGGTGAAAAAAACAGCGTTTCAGGCGGTCGCACACCGGACGAGAAGCGCAGCGTCACGCCACGTCTTTAAAATTCAAATACATTATTTTCTATGAGTGTAGGCACACCGGCTGCACCGTTCGGCGTCTTTCTGCGGCGCCCAGCTACGTCGTGTTGTACTTGTAAGAATTGTTCTAGACATGCCGAAAATTTGACGCTACAGCACAGCAGCTCTTCTTCTTGGTTTTCTCTGATGCACTAACTCTGCAGCAGCACTTCTTCTTCATCGTCTCGTCTGATGCGCTCACTCAACCAAGCGTTCTAACCACAACCTCGCCCCTCCCCACCCCCCAACCATTCAGATTTCTGTAGGCGGGAATTATTTTTAATGATATTCCAATGAGCCGCTTTGTGACATCACAAAACCCAGGAAACCAACACTGTAGTCCAAACGAGCCGTTCGTTGTAGTTCTTGAAAAGGGATTTTTTTAAAAATGAAATATCTCCCTTTGGAGTGGACTTTGAGATTTGAAACTTTCTAGATCTTTTTTTATGCCCAAACATACAGAACTACACACTGACTAAAATAACAAAAGTGAAAACGCATAATAGGACCCCTTTAAGATATTTCTCTTTCATACAATAAATGTTGAAATGGTTATGTTTACACTTAAAATATGCGATTCATTAATGCCTGTAATCTTAAATAAACTTACCTGGGACTCTTTTTAAGGGCAACAAGCATCTCCTCAAGAGCACCAACGTACTTGAAAAGACAATTAAATCTACTGAATATGATTTTCTGCTAAAAATGATAGAGAGCAGCATATTACATTGAAAAATGTACAAATATCCACAGCGAAGACAGAAAGCAAATAAGACACTAACTAATTAATCCCAGCGCATTAGGCATAAATATGAATGCATGTCTTTTTTTGACACAATGAATATTGCTTTGTTGTATCATGCAGAAAATACAACATTTACTTCCAAAGCACAGAAGTACACGCCAAATGCAGAGCTGTTATGAATTACCTTCTCTAGTCTCCAGTCGGTCTCATTTCTTTTCTCTGAAGCCAGAGATTCACAGCGCGATAATAACCTGATAAAATTGATCTCTAGTCTGGACGTGGCCATATTTGACGCTCAAAGCGGAAGTCGCGCGAGTCTTACACACAACAAGACGGAACAGAGCGACAACCGAAGAGTCCTGTTGGTTACGCAGGAGCGGTTGGCAATAACTTATTGCGAATGTATTATGCATTCAAAAACAAACATACAAAACACGTGTACTTGTAACTTACGTTCATATCCATCGCTTAAATATAGGTAATGTAATCTGAGAAAAAAAGCCAATTTTTTTTATTGCATATGAACATATATAACAGTAAGAGAAATACAATGTTGCATATAAATGCCATCAGTACACAAGATTACAAGTAAAATAAAAAATTAGCCAGAGGAAGAAAGAAAACATAAAATAAATAAATAAAACAACTAAAATAATGAAGACGGTACGGTTTACTTGTCTATTTCAAATGTGCAGATAATGTTAGAAGTCCTGAGAGCTTTTTTTGTTTTACATTTATATACCATATTACAGTATTGTTTCAATTCGTTGATAAAATTAAATACATTTGGTTTACCACCCGACCACTTCATTTTATGTATATGAAACTTCCCCATTACAACCAGTAATTGAATAACATACGCTTTATTCTTTTCTATCCCATAATCATCAACATATATCATTATATCAGGCCCACCCAGTTTAACAGCTTTAAGCTTCTTGTAATGAAGTTCTCAACATCAACCCAAAATATCTTTGTATAGATGCAATGAAAAAATACATGAAAAATAGTTTCTTTTTCATTACTACAAAATTCACAGGAGTAGTCAATATTCAATTTAAAACGTTCCAATACATGTTTCACCGGATAAATTCTATGCAATATTTTATACGAAACTTATCGAAATGTATCAAGCATTCTCCAAGCCTCACGCCAATTTAAGTCTCCAAATATTGATGACCAGAAAAATCCTCTAGCTGGAGGATATGTAACATAATTTACTCAATTTCTAATGTATTTATTTGGTATGTTGTTTTTTTAAATAATAATATATCCAATAAAAATGGAATTAGTTATATAATCCAGATTAGGGTTTTCATTACATTCATTTTTAAGAAAACATAATACTTTATAGCGTCCATTACAATGGCATATTCTCTGGGTCTAATTGGGATAAATAAAAATGACAAATGCATACAACACAATTTCAAAACTTAACATTTCAATGAAAAACTAAAATAAAGCTAAAAACAATTAAAAATATTAAAGAGCAAAAGGTATAGGAGTATAATAATGATTCTAACATAACACTAAGCCAAACACCAAAAAAAAAAAAAACTACATATGTGCATGTACAACCACACACATACATACACACACACATATATATACTTCACGCAAAAATGAAAATCTGCTGAAAACTGACTCACCCTCACCCCTCACTCACCTGAGTTTGTTTCCTTATTCAGACAGATTCTGAGAAATTTAGCATTACTTCACTTGCTCACCAATGGATCCTTTGCAGTGAATGGGTGCCGTCAGAATGAGGAGTCCAAACAGCTGATAAAAACATCACAATAAGTCACAAGTACTCCACACAACTTCATCATTAAGATGCTTTTAACTTCACACTGTTTCAAGTCCATACTCCATAAAAACACTTCCTCCATTAAAAAGTCATCTCGTCTGAATCAGGAGAGAACTATGCACAGATGAAACATTATTTACAAGTGAAAACAGTCACATTTGTCAGTGGATTTTGATGAGAGGACAACATGGGATGGAGTTTCTTACCGGAGGAAGTGTTATTATGGATTATATTTGTCCAGATGCAATGGTTTAAAGTTAAAAAAGTGTCCTGGATTTTTTTCCTTATAAACACAGAAAAAGATCTGACATGATTTATCTTAGATTCATTTTCAAAAACCTGCCATTTTAACCTGCCGAGTGTGTAGCGTGTAGTGGTTTTTTGTTTACGAAGTATCTCTTTATTTCGTCTGAAATACGTAAAGACAGCATCCACAAGTGGAAAGTTATTTTTAACATCTATTACAAGAACTCGATTAATCTTCCGGATATGATGCAAACCCACATGGTATACACCCATTCCTAAAGAAAAAAGTATATTTTGGCAACTTCCTTTTGTTCTATATTAGATTCATTAAAACTAAAATTACATTTTTATTTATTTAGCATATTTGGTCCTGACATTTTCCAAAATGAGTCATTATTTACTCTTCAACCAGTAGCAGTAAATAAACAACAAGCGCCAGCAGGGCCAGTATAAGTTGAACTTTCGTCACTTCATCTGATTTGCAGTATTTGGTCATTTCTGCAGCTCAGCAGTAGCACTTCCTCTATGAAATGTTATAAAAGTCACCCACAAACCTGAACACAAGCTCAACCTGAACACACGTTCAACAAGCTCCCAAAATGAAGACGCTGCTGCTTTCACTGCTCTGTAAGTTTATTTCTGTGGGATTGAGTGTGATTCTGTCATGATCAGATGATCTCAATGATCGGTTTTCTGTTTCTTCAGGTCTGTTTGTGTGGAGTCAGTCCACAGAAGCTTTAACTGATCACCAGGTGGTTTTAGGACAGAGTGTGACTTTAGCCTGTGAGTACAGATTAAAAGTCGTTATTTGGTTTGTAATGAAACTACCAGCTCGTCCGGAGATGATACTGTGAACTTTTGGATCAGAAAAGCCTGAATATTACGATGAAAAATTCCGTGAAAAATATTCAGAAGGAGACAGAAGCCACTTAGTAATCAATAATGTCAGTGTTGATGATTTAGGAATGTATTACTGTATAAAACCAGGCTTTGTTCTACAGATCAGTAATGGTATCAGCCTGCACACCACTGGTAAGTGAGAAAATGCAATACATTTACACAACTAAAATCTACATTATTATCATTATTTATGTTGTCTATTTATGATTTTGCATTACAATTATCCAAACTGATTATTTCTGTGATGACAGTTATGGTCCAGACTGTACACCCACTGGGGTGTGTTTCCCAAAAGCATTGTTAACCATCTATGGTTTTAACATTCAAGGTGTTTCCGGTGTCCATAGTTTCTGTTCGCAAACAGCATTGCAAACTTAATTGTGTGGTTGGATCTACAGCTCTCCACCTGTGGTTAGAAGTTTACTAACTATCCAAACAATACATTAATACTTTGCTTTTCTAAAAGAAATTTTTCAGTCTTAGCGACCGTACCAGACTGCAAAACACTGGAAAGTCACTGGCAATACATTTATTCTTCTGAGATACTACTACTACTACTCAGAATAATAAATATTTGTTTCTGTTATTATTATTATTAGTGCTTTAAGAGCTCTCAACGTGGGGTTAGGAGCATAGTTTCTTGTTAGTATGACGTGAATAAAATCAAGCACTTGAGCAAATTAAGCAAACTAACATGTGGTAAAATCTATATCTTTCATTCCATTCCTTCTACGTCTTTTAGTTTGTTAAGAGAACTCAAGCGGCATTTCTGAAGAGTGTGCATGCACGTACTTGCTCAGTGGTGAACACCGCTAAAATAACGGAGAACGAAAATAGCTAAGTAGTCATCAGATTCCATGTTCGTTATTTACAGCAAAAACCTGAGATTAATTTGACCTCGAAATGGATAATTAGCCGAAGTTATCACTCCACCGCCTGCTTGACGTCATTAACGTCAGTTTTTACCGAAGGACAGATGTGCGCCAGAATTCCTACGTTTTCGTGAAACAGTCATGAGCCTGTTTCTCTAACGCATTGTACTATAAGTTACTGTGTTGTTCGGGAAACACACCCCAGGTTATCAATGAATGAATTATACATCTGATTTCTGTTATTATTGTTAGTAGAAGCCGTAGTAGTTTATCATGTAATTATTAGAGGCCAAGCACCGAAGGTGCATAGGCACCTATTGTATCCGTTGGCATTCTTATTATTCTTTTATTTTTTCCCCCTCTGATTCCTTGGCTCAAGTTGATTCATTACACTATATGATGTCATTTTCCATCATTAAAATTTTCCCACCATTTTGAATTTTATGAAGAACTTACTTTTTCGAACTCCTCCTAGGCTGTTGCTCTGATTTTCACGAAAATTAAACCAGACCCTCTTCAGACCATGCTGAAAAAAGTTATGGAATTCAAGTTGATTTGTCTAACCATTTTCGAAAAACGCGCAATCAAATTTTTTGTAGTGCTTGTGAAAATAGGCGTAAGGCTGTATCTCCTCAGTGCTTTAACGCAGTGGTTCCCAAACCTGTCCTGGAGGTCCCCCTGCCCTGCACCTTTTGTATGTCTCCCTTATCTAACACACCTGATTCCACTCATCAGCTCGTTAGCAGAGACTGCAATAACTAAATTGGGTGTCTGATTAGGGAGACATACAAAATGTGCAGGGCAGGGGGTCCTCCAGGACAGGTTTGGGAACCACTGCTTTAACGTATTCAGACCAAATTTGTCCATGTCATGACAACCATGACCTGAGATTACATTTCAGAGCAGCACCACCTAGTGGTCAGAAGATATGAAAAATGGCTATTTTTGCTAATAACGTCTGAATTATTTGGCCAAAAATCTAAACTGGTCTCTTTAGATTCAGAGGAGCATGCCGAGTCGAACCCAAGCGGCAACCTCCCCCTCTCTCTCCTGAAGCCAACAAGGAAGTGACTTAAACTGTAATTCATCAACTGGCCGCTAGAGGCGGGCTACAAAAGGGAGTCAATCCCATAGACTCCCCATGTTAAAATGCCCAACTTTACAGCAGAAAAAAACATGTTTATAGCCTGGTTCAAAAAATTATTTTGGTCTATATAGCTAATTTTGCCCTTCATGACAACTGTGAGGGGGGTGAATTTTTTTATAAGCCATTTAAATTATATTAAGCCTTAAAGTTCTGCATAATTAAGAGCGTGGCCACTTGAGTGACAGGTGGATTGCCGCTGCTGTCACCACCGTCAAGCTAGGTGGGTGTGGCTTCAGCAACCAGCTCCCGCCTTTTTGCCCATTTTTGATTATCCGGGAGTGCATCACTCGGTGTATCGGTGACGCGCTGCCAAGATGGCGACGGCTGGCTCTGCCCACTTTGAGCTTCAAAAACCTCTTCAGGAACCTACGGGTGATGTCACGGACCCTATGTCCATGTTTTTATACAGTCTATGGTCGAACCATACTCAATTTTCCCATGTCAGCCATTTTGGGCGTCTGACATTTTTTATTTAGTTGTAAAAAGCTATATTTTACTAACGCATTGGCGTTATGAAACTCGGTGTGCATATTCAGCACCATGCTCTGATGGTACTCAAAATGTTTGGGGGCAGCACCACCTTGTGGTCAAGCTGTCTGAGGCTGTATCGCTGCAAAGCTTTGACCTATTGACACCAAACTTTGTTTGTACTATTGTCACCTCACACTGACCACGCCACATCAATTTGGTAACAGCATCACATGTTGGTCAAAAGTGATAAACCATTAATTAACCAATAATACTGAAATTTCTTAAAATGCTAATAACATTTCAATACATTGGCCTGTTGTAATGAAACTGGTCTCAAAATATTCCTTGGGTCATGCCAAGAACAGAGACTCCAATTATGCCATAGTCGACCGAACCAAAGACTATAGAATACCCAAGACGTGTCACTCGTATAGTTTTGAATGGGGAAAAATGCAAAGCTCAATATGGCCGCTCTATTGAACGAAGCCCTGCCTTCTGAGCAAAAGAGCCAATCGCTAATCAGTAAAGTCATCGTGTCACTGCAGCTGCCGTTAGAAGTCCCGGTTGCTATAAAAACAGTCATCGTTCTGAGAGGTGCGCCTAAGACTGCACATGCGCACTGGCTGATCTAGCCTGAAAAATATGCTTTTTTTAATGCTATTGGAGCATAATGAACAATATTTATGAGGCAGTTGTTGTCAGCTTGGTGAACAGTTTTGGAGAATTTGATGTTTCCCCATTCAAAGAGATAGGAGCTGCACTTGCATGCCCAAGAGGCGTTTCAAAGATGGCCGCCGAGTGACATGACTTGCCTTAAAGGGACTTTGACTGAACTTCCCGTCCGCCATTTAGATTTTTCTTAAAAACCTACTTTTTTGAACTCCTCCTAGATCATTTGTCTGATTTTCACCAAATCCGAGTCAAATTTGAGTGTGCTGACAAAAAGTTATTTTGTGTCGATAGATGAAACAACAAAGTTGAGGCATGATGCCAAAATGACTCTGAAGCTGTATCTCTGCAAAGCTTTGACATATTGACACCAAACTTTGTGTGTGCCATTGTCACCTCACACAGAAAACACCACATCGATTTGATAACAGCGCCACCTACCGGTCAAAAGTGATAAGCCATTAAATCACATTACTGGAGGTTGTATTTATGATTTTTCAGCCATTTTGACTAAAATCAATCTAAAATGGCTTTAATTACTCATTGTTGCAGTTGGTCTGACACTCCATACCATGCTTAGCTCCTCATTTTGCTTCTGTTGTGCTTGGCCCCTTAATTGCTGCTTGCAGCTATATTGGTCTATTATTTTTGTTATTTATGAAATTATATTTATGCAGATTTGTTTCCAATCTAAATTTAAAGTATAGATTCCCTTTATTTAAAAAGTTTTCTAACTATCCAAACAATAAATTAATACTTTGCTTTTCTAAAAGAAATGTCTAAAGATGACAGTGGTCGTACCAGACTGTACACCACTGGTAGGTCACTGGCAATACATTTATTCAAAATAAATATCTAAATGGCAAGAATGCATGGCATTTATTTAATTTTTCTAACAATTCTACAAACATTATAGAAGTTATTTTACCTGCTGTTTTTCTAATAATTATACAAGCATTTTAGAAGTTACTTTACGTGGCTGTATAGAAGATAAAACTTGGTATTTTTCTCAAAAACACAGAATCTCCCCGAATTCACAATGAACCAGAGCAAAAAAATCCACCACAAGATCAGACAACACTTCCGATTCCTATCATTATGTTAAGTCTGTTGACTGTTGTGCTGTTTGCTGCAGTAATAGGTGAGTAAAAAAGTCAAGACCATAGTATATTTAAACCATGTAATGAAAATTATCACTAAGCTTTAGAATTTTTTGACATTATAGATTATAGATATTATAGATGATATTAAATAATTAAAACATATGTATAATAATTATATTATAAATTATAGATATATAGAATATTAATTAATATCCACCACAAGATCAGACAACACTTCCGATTCCTATCATTATGTTAAGTCTGTTGACTGTTGTGCTGTTTGCTGCAGTAATAGGTGAGTAAAAAAGTCAAGACCATAATATATTTAAACCATGTAATGAAAATTATCACTAAGCTTTAGAATTTTTTGACATTATAGATTATAGATATTATAGATGATATTAAATAATTAAAACATATGTATAATAATTATATTATAAATTATAGATATATAGAATATTAATTAATTATACATAAATATAATATTTAAGTACAGTTTTATTTGTATTACATTTATTGATTAATTTAGCAGCATTTAATCAAATATTACTGTGCTATTCTAGGTTTATTAATGATGAACCATAAACGGTCTAAGAAAATTCCTAAATATGTCAATGCTCATCAGGTAAGATGTTTCTTATTGCTGTTTATGTTAAAAATTCGGTTATTATGACTGCTTTTACAAACTTTTTATATTCCAGAAAACAAAACAAAAAATGTTTAATTAAAAAAGAATGTGTAAACATGAAGAGCTGTCTTGATAAATGGAAATAAACATCTAATGTATGATTTTTTTTTGTCATTCGTTTAGATTTCTACTTTGAAGTTTCGTGAGAGTAACAGAGGAAAAACAGATCCTGAATATCTAGAGGTGCTGCCAAATTTCTAGAGGTCCTGTATGAAACAGTGTTGATTTATTGCTGTTTGCTTCAAATGAGCAGAATTCTGCGCTGCTTGAACATGTAATGAAATGATTTGCTCTTGTCTGTTCATTATAATACATGACTAAAATCTGTCTGCAATGAAAATGTCCATTAAGTTTTATAATAACGTTTGCTTTTGAATAAACTTTGTAATGTTTTTGATTGTTTTTTATGTCTCTTTGTGAGTTGCTAAAATCTGATTGTAATGGGATGCAGTAACAATAATTAGTTCTGATTGATCATGTGACAATGAATGTCATATGTGGATGTAACATAACAAACGCACAGCTTTTAATTTCACACGACATTAATTGATGGACTGGAGTGGTGTGGATTATGGACTACTGTGGTGTTTTTATCAGCTGTTTGGACTCTCATTCTGACGGCACCCATTCACTGCAAAGGATCCTTTGGTGACCAAGTGATGTATAATGCTACATTTCTCCAAATCTGTTCTCATGAAGAAACAAACTTATCTAAATCTTGGATGTCCTGAGGGTGAGGAAACTTTCAGCAATTTTCAGTTTTGGGTGAACTCTCTCTTTAATGACAATAAGTTGTCCAGTCATTTAGAGTTCAACCACCACTTCTTAAGAAGGGAGTGGTTTACTTTTATTTCTTAAGTTCTGCAGCACTTCCGCTCAGATTCGCAAGTTAACCATCTTATCGTATATGAATTAAACAACCACAGAATGGGGACGGTGCAGCTTTTACTCTTCAGTAAGTTTAAGTTCATGCTCAATTTTACTGTGATCTTAATGAATAAGACAGAAGATTATTTAAAGTGAGGCCAAGTATGGTGACCCATACTCAGAATTTGTTCTCTGCATTTAACCCATCCAAGTGCGCACACACACACAGCAGTGAACACACACATCCGGAGCAGTGGGAAGCCATATTGGTGTGGCACCCAGGAAGCAGTTGTGGGTGCCTTGCTCAAGGGTCTCACCTCAGTCGTGGTATTGAAGGTGAAAGAGAGCACTGTACATTCACTCCCCCCACCTACAATCCCTGCCAAATCTGAGACTCAAACCCGCAACCTTTGGGCTATAAGTCCGACTCACTAACCATTAGGCCACGACTTCCCCACAAACAGAAATAATCTCTGTACACAGATGTGCTGCTGGTGTGTCAAACTACAGAGAGTTTAACTGATAAATGGGTGAATTTAGGGCAAAGTGTGACTTTAGACATTTACTGGCTTTTCCTGAAGCCACCAGATTCTGTAGTGGTGATTCTGCGAACTTTCTCATCAGATTCTATATCTACTTTTGTACAAGATGAAGGATTCACAGACAAATATTCAACATGAACTTTGAACCGTTTATTTATTGGTAACATATCTATTGATGAATTAGGAATATATTATTGTGCAAAAGCAAGCATCTCTCTACAGCTCAGCAGTGGCACCAGACTTTACAGCACTGGTAAGTGTGTATAAAATCATCATGATAATTCTGTTATCTGTGAATTATCTAAAAACAGTTACAATGCACAAACTGTGCTAAACTGGTATTTTAACTTTCATTTCTGTCAGAGATCTACAAAATGCGGATGCATATTTGGTATTTCTGAACACAACTTTTAACAGAAGCTGCTCAAAATCAGAATGAGACCGAACTGAATCAGTCACAACATCAGACGACACAGCAGGCTCTGATTGTTTTATACGTCATACTGAACATTGTGATGTTTTCTGCAGTGATAGGTGAGAAGAATTCAGGATTTTGCGTGTATTATACAAAACAGTAATAATAAATAATTTTGAAAAAAAGAACAAAAGTGTTGTTGGTCGGGTGATGTAATAGAATGTTACATAAACATATATGTAATACAAAATTCTCAATATTTTTTTTTCAGTATGGTTTATCTTTGTTTTTGTTATGATAAAGTCTTATAAATGAGCTCTTACAACTTGCTTGACTCATGTATCATGTAAATAAATATCAGTGGTGTATAAAGTACCCGAAAGCCATACTCAAGTAAAAGTAGAGATATCTTACCAGAAAAGGACTTTGGTAGAAGTTGAAGTCACCATTTAGAATATTACTTGA